CAACTAATGTCCATATTATGAGACTAAATTAAAAAATAACATATTATATTCAAACGTATGCGGATATCGATCAATTTAAATTAACCATCTTATTTCGTTGTAGAACCTAATACTTTGTTCTGAGTTTAACGTCCCTGGAAGCGCCCTCTCTATATATATATATATATATATATATATATATATATATATATATATATATATATATATATATATATATATATATATATATCAATATGATATAATGTTTTAAACATTTCTAGATAGCCTTTGCATGTGTCTGGTACAATTATAAATTTTATATAAATTACAATAATAAAAACTAATGGTTCCATTTAGTTAGATAGAATATTCTTTATTGTACACAAAAACTGGAGACTAACAATTGGCGATCTTATCACTAAAAGTGATCTCTTCCAGGCAACCTTGGATGGGGTTAAATATAAAAGACCTGTTTTTGAGGTAGTGGATGTTGTACCTATAAACAAGTCATAAACAGAATTATAGACAATTGTTAATTAGTTATGATTTAATTTTTATAGTTTATTTTTATGGTATCTTTATTTCATTACATAAATAAATAGGAACTTGATCTATTATGTTTCAGGAACTTGCTGCTGACACAAGTAATGTATCAACACATTCTGAAAATTCGATTGGTGAATGTAAACTTGATGGTTTATCACCACCACATAAAATAAGTAGAACAGATTCTGTGAATGCTCTTAAAGTGTATCCAATTCCAAATCTATCGAGAAACAGAGACGAGTTTGCAGTGTTTGGGGAATACATTGCTAATGAATTAAGATCTTTAAAAGGGGAGAAAAATTTATTAGTTGCAAAGAAAAAGATACAAGATGTGATATTTGAAGTTAAGATGGGCATGATCTGTGATACAAAGACCGAACCAAATTCTTCTTGTACAGTGTACACTCACTCAACCCAACCTCTCAATACAAATCCGATGCATGGTGGTAACCCATATACAACCCCAGTAATGAGTACAACTACACACATTGAACCTTTGCCATCTCATAACCCACCTACTTCTGGCATTAGTGAAATAATCATTAATAGTGCTTGCCACTATTCAAATTTCAAAGTAGACAGTCAATAGCATTAACTTCCACCTCCTAATAGGGAAGTGGATATAATTTAAAGAATTTTGTATAATCTACTTTTTTAATCATTATTCATTAGGAATATATTATTCAGTATAGCACTGTGAATGCAGAATTTGATCAAAAATAATAAATAAATGTTATTAAATTCTGCTTTTGCAGTTCACTTTAGCCGTCTTTATAAATTTTGTACATAATAATATATGTAACTATTTTAATCAACAAAAAAAATATTTATTGTTGGTTTTAAAGTCAAGTTGAAATGTAATTCCAATTCACTTTTAAGGTGGTTAGACTGTAATACCTTTTTTAATTTACTTACTCCAATAATAGATATATGTGAAATAATAAAATTCTGTACCAAGATATAAAGCTTTGCAAGCTGGTAATTTTGTATTAGTATTATATTATCTTGTGTGTATTATAAAGTAGGAAAATTATATTTTAAGATGCTTTACAATATCATTGTGCTTGACATAAAATTATAATATTTGTTGTTTGATCTCAACTCAAAACACTGATTTCCATTTGAAAATAAATCTTTTTGAAGACTAAATAAACTATTTATTTTTCATAATAACAAATAAAAAATTCGTAGTTAAGTATCTATACCAATATAAAAATCCAAAAAAAACGCACTACATATCTACAACTTTAAAAAGATGAGAGCATGATTTAAAACTCACGGATTCATTCCTGAAAAGTTTCAATGGACAGAAACTGAAAAACGATGGAAAAAGAGGAGGCTTATTCCAAGGGACACACTGAACTACAAGACATTTTGTAATCATAAATGTACTTCTACTTTTACGATAAAAACTCACAATAAAATACTTATTATCGTAATAATAAAATAAAGAGTTCATTATTATGTATTTGAAACAAAAATGGCGCCAAACGAATAAAACGATAGTTTCACAGACCAAGAAGAGCTTGCTTTCACAAGTAATGCGCCGATTACACTACCCAATCTATCGGGCCCGATCCATCGGGCACACTGTAAATTGGGTAGTCTAATCGCAGTTAGAGAGTTAGGGTCCCGATATCGGGTGAACGTGGGCGCCCGACCGCCCGATGAGAGTTAGGGCCGGTTTATCAGGTAATGTGATCGCTGTTAGGGTGTTAGAGCGCTCAGTCGGTTGATGCGCAGCGTGCGTGTGAGACGTCAGTGAACGACAACGAAATTTGCGAACAGAGCAAAATGTCTTCTCAAAAGGAAAAATAAATAATATTACTTTTTCTTATAATATATATATTTTTAAAACATTTCTAGATAGCCCTACATGTGTCTGGTACAATTTTTGATAGCAGGGGTTCTGATATCAATGATTTTAGCGAAATTGAAAATTTATAATTATGTATTATAATTTTTTTATAAATTACAATAATAAAAACTAATGCTCCTCCATTATACTATTGTTGTGCCCGATAGGGTCCATAGTGAGACTAACTTAATTATGTAACATTATTTTAAATTACCTATGGAAACAATAAACTTATTGAGTATTTATACTTTAAGTCATGATATGCATTTCCCGTTGCTAAAAATTTTAAGGTTACAGCACAGCTAACCGCTGTTTTGCGCTATATATAATGTATGACTAAGGCGCCTATTACACTACTCAATCTATCGGGCACGATATATCGGCCGCGATTTAGCGCGGTTGGTGTCATTGTGATTACACTGCACTAGATCGCCTCCCTAACTCAGTTGGCATGCAAACGTGGCGTTGAAAGGATGGCTCCTTCACTCACAAAGTACCAAAAAATTGGCATAGCCCATACTTTAACTGCGGGCGTAAATAATAAAACAAAATGTTGGGTGAAAAATATTTGCTTCTAAATGACCAACTATGCAGTTTGAACTACTACAGAATGAGTTCTGCACAATTTGATCATATATTAAACTTAGTCATACCTTATATAGCGCAAAACAGCGGTTAGCTGTGCTGTTACCTTAAAATTTTTAGCAACGGCAAATGCATATCATGACTTAAAGTATAAATAATCAATAAGTTTATTGTTTCCATAGGTAATTTAAAATAATATTACATAATTAAGTTAATATAACTTAATTAAGTTAGTCTCACTATGAACCCTATCGGGCACAACAATAATATAAAGTTTTTTATAGCATTAGTTTTTATTATTGTAATTTATATAAAATTTATAATTGTACCAGACACATGCAAAGGCTATCTAGAAATGTTTAAAACGTTTTAAACATTTCTAGATAGCCTTTGCATGTGTCTGGTACAATTATAAATTTTATATAAATTACAATAATAAAAACTAATGCTATAAAAAACTTTATATTATTGTTGTGCCCGATAGGGTTCATAGTGAGACTAACTTAATTAAGTTATATTAACTTAATTATGTAATATTATTTTAAATTACCTATGGAAACAATAAACTTATTGATTATTTATACTTTAAGTCATGATATGCATTTGCCGTTGCTAAAAATTTTAAGGTAACAGCACAGCTAACCGCTGTTTTGCGCTATATAAGGTATGACTAAGTTTAATATATGATCAAATTGTGCAGAACTCATTCTGTAGTAGTTCAAACTGCATAGTTGGTCATTTAGAAGCAAATATTTTTCACCCAACATTTTGTTTTATTATTTACGCCCGCAGTTAAAGTATGGGCTATGCCAATTTTTTGGTACTTTGTGAGTGAAGGAGCCATCCTTTCAACGCCACGTTTGCATGCCAACTGAGTTAGGGAGGCGATCTAGTGCAGTGTAATCACAATGACACCAACCGCGCTAAATCGCGGCCGATATATCGTGCCCGATAGATTGAGTAGTGTAATAGGCGCCTTAGTCATACATTATATATAGCGCAAAACAGCGGTTAGCTGTGCTGTAACCTTAAAATTTTTAGCAACGGGAAATGCATATCATGACTTAAAGTATAAATACTCAATAAGTTTATTGTTTCCATAGGTAATTTAAAATAATGTTACATAATTAAGTTAGTCTCACTATGGACCCTATCGGGCACAACAATAGTATAATGGAGGAGCATTAGTTTTTATTATTGTAATTTATAAAAAAATTATAATACATAATTATAAATTTTCAATTTCGCTAAAATCATTGATATCAGAACCCCTGCTATCAAAAATTGTACCAGACACATGTAGGGCTATCTAGAAATGTTTTAAAAATATATATATTATAAGAAAAAGTAATATTATTTATTTTTCCTTTTGAGAAGACATTTTGCTCTGTTCGCAAATTTCGTTGTCGTTCACTGACGTCTCACACGCACGCTGCGCATCAACCGACTGAGCGCTCTAACACCCTAACAGCGATCACATTACCTGATAAACCGGCCCTAACTCTCATCGGGCGGTCGGGCGCCCACGTTCACCCGATATCGGGACCCTAACTCTCTAACTGCGATTAGACTACCCAATTTACAGTGTGCCCGATGGATCGGGCCCGATAGATTGGGTAGTGTAATCGGCGCATTACTTGTGAAAGCAAGCTCTTCTTGGTCTGTGAAACTATCGTTTTATTCGTTTGGCGCCATTTTTGTTTCAAATACATAATAATGAACTCTTTATTTTATTATTACGATAATAAGTATTTTATTGTGAGTTTTTATCGTAAAAGTAGAAGTACATTTATGATTACAAAATGTCTTGTAGTTCAGTGTGTCCCTTGGAATAAGCCTCCTCTTTTTCCATCGTTTTTCAGTTTCTGTCCATTGAAACTTTTCAGGAATGAATCCGTGAGTTTTAAATCATGCTCTCATCTTTTTAAAGTTGTAGATATGTAGTGCGTTTTTTTTGGATTTTTATATTGGTATAGATACTTAACTACGAATTTTTTATTTGTTATTATGAAAAATAAATAGTTTATTTAGTCTTCAAAAAGATTTATTTTCAAATGGAAATCAGTGTTTTGAGTTGAGATCAAACAACAAATATTATAATTTTATGTCAAGCACAATGATATTGTAAAGCATCTTAAAATATAATTTTCCTACTTTATAATACACACAAGATAATATAATACTAATACAAAATTACCAGCTTGCAAAGCTTTATATCTTGGTACAGAATTTTATTATTTCACATATATCTATTATTGGAGTAAGTAAATTAAAAAAGGTATTACAGTCTAACCACCTTAAAAGTGAATTGGAATTACATTTCAACTTGACTTTAAAACCAACAATAAATATTTTTTTTGTTGATTAAAATAGTTACATATATTATTATGTACAAAATTTATAAAGACGGCTAAAGTGAACTGCAAAAGCAGAATTTAATAACATTTATTTATTATTTTTGATCAAATTCTGCATTCACAGTGCTATACTGAATAATATATTCCTAATGAATAATGATTAAAAAAGTAGATTATACAAAATTCTTTAAATTATATCCACTTCCCTATTAGGAGGTGGAAGTTAATGCTATTGACTGTCTACTTTGAAATTTGAATAGTGGCAAGCACTATTAATGATTATTTCACTAATGCCAGAAGTAGGTGGGTTATGAGATGGCAAAGGTTCAATGTGTGTAGTTGTACTCATTACTGGGGTTGTATATGGGTTACCACCATGCATCGGATTTGTGTTGAGAGGTTGGGTTGAGTGAGTGTACACTGTACAAGAAGAATTTGGTTCGGTCTTTGTATCACAGATCATGCCCATCTTAACTTCAAATATCACATCTTGTATCTTTTTCTTTGCAACTAATAAATTTTTCTCCCCTTTTAAAGATCTTAATTCATTAGCAATGTATTCCCCAAACACTGCAAACTCGTCTCTGTTTCTCGGTAGATTTGGAATTGGATACACTTTAAGAGAATTCACAGAATCTGTTCTACTTATTTTATGTGGTGGTGATAAACTGTCAAGTTTACATTCACCAATCGAATTTTCAGAATGTGTTGATACATTACTTGTGTCAGCAGCAAGTTCCTGAAACATAATAGATCAAGTTCCTATTTATTTATGTAATGAAATAAACATACCATAAAAATAAACTATAACAATCATTACTAATAAACAATGGTCTATAATTCTGTTTATGAATTGTTTATAGGTACAACATCCACTACCTCAACATCAGGTCTTTTATATTTAACCCTATCCAAGGTTGCTTGGAAGAGATCACTTTTAGCGATAAGGCTGCCAATTGTTAGTCTCCAGTTTTTGTGTGAACAATAAAGAATATTCTATCTATCTAAATGGAACAGGCAACTTATATATAAAAATCTCTATTTTATATGAAAACAAACCTGAGTTAGCACACGATATGGTTTGCTGGAATCCTTCATAAAGTGCAAATATTCGAAAGCATACCAATTGCTGATATATCTGTCGTTAGGATCTTCGGCTAAAGCACGAGCTTCTCTTGCAGACTCTCTGTTGTACTGTGTTCGCAAATGCTGAATCTTTTTTGTGGTATCAGGTACTGATATGCCCAAAATATCGGATATAGTTCGCAGTTCTTCCTTTCTTTTTTGTTTGTCTCTACGAGTTTCGCATAAAGAAGGATTCCAAAGACTAGCATTCAATTGTAAAAGCTCAATCAACTTCAAAGTTTTGTCTTTAGACCACTCCATCACATTAAAATCGTTACAAGTTGTTGTTGTACAGCATCAACAAACATTTGTAAACATTAACAGTTGTTCCTCAACAAATCGTTAGATATTTCAGTAAACTGCGTTGACCTAACAATCGATCCACCAATCAACCAAATCCTATGAACAAATCGGAGCAAACAAGATTCCATAGATCTATTATTAACAACAAACGTCAATGTGACAGTGAAATTTGTTTTTTTTTATAGCGTGTTTTGTTTTTAACCATACAGCCAATTTAACAATGAAAAAGAGTATAATCCTCGCAAATTGCTAATACGCCTGGCCGCCATTTTAGTTGCATATTTGCGTTCAACAATTCGTTAACGGTACGAATAAACACTGGTTGACGAGTACACTTATTGAGTTTGGTTGTGTTGAGCTTAGTGATGTACCATATCCGGGTATATTGCCAAGGATTGGAAATTGTACTGGGAACAGCCGCCGGCAGCGTTCCGAAAATAGAAATTTAAAAAATATTTTATGTTACTTTAAACTACTTTATGATTATCTATGTACTAGAAACAAAAGTAGGCATTAAAATATCATAATAAAGAAAATTCCCAGACAGCTTCCAAAACTCCTAGCAATATTTCCAGTTTATTGCAAGCAAAATTCCCAATTAATTTTCCAATGTATTCAACAAGTAATACGATACAATTTCGTAACATGTGTCATCTGTCGAAATGTGACATCTGCCCCCCCCACCCGGTCGAAGGTTCGTTGCCCCTTCAGGGCACGCAACCAACTGTCCAAGGCGGTGTTTAGTCAGTAGGAGTCTGTCATAACCTCACAGCCGACTGTGAGGTATCTAATGAAGGAATCACCGCCTCCTCCCCCATTGGGAAGGTTCCGAAACCCTAAGGTTGAGAGCCGAAAAAAAATCGATAAAATGTTATTACTGGAGTCAACTCTTTCTCTCTTCTTCTTTCATTCATTAGCTTCCAGTTACGAGCTATAAAGTAAGCTTGCTTGCTCTTTGCAAATTTGTCTCTGTTGTAAGTTTGTTTCTTTTATTTATTTATTTGTACTTCTTGCACAAACGTACAATGTGCAGACTTAATGCCGTAGGCATTTTCTACTAGTTAACCATAGAGTGATATGGAAACAAATATTCGGTGATGTGGTGACTAGTGTGAATATGTGAGAATTATGAAAATAACCTTTCTATTCAAAATTATATGGAAGATGAAGTTAAAATTACGCGTAATTATAATTAAAAGTATGCCGCGTTTATATTTTGTCTAAAGAATTTATGCAAATGGACAGGCACAATATCTTCTTATACATCCACTGGTTCTGATATACTATATATAAAATAAATATATCGTCTACTCGCTGGGTGCGCGATGACAGCGCAAACTAGTGATTAAAATTACGTCAGACTTTGATATGTCAAATGGCTTGCGTTCTGTACGAAAAGTCATTGTGTAAATGCAAATAGGTCATGAATTAAAAAAGAAAAAGAAGTAAACAAACGATAATTTCAAGGAAATATCATAACTGACTTAGATTATATTCGATTATTTAACTCTATAGTGACGATATTTTTAATTTGCCGTCTAAAATGGATATTTTCATTGCTGAATTTACGGGAAATAAATAAAGAAATTAACAAAAATCGAAAAACGCATTTCATATATATCGAAAACAATTGTTTGTGGATGAAGTGTTGTTAAAAATGCAGACTTTTTGTGTGTATTCATTTAAAAATACTAAATAACTATAAAAACTTCATTTCGAGCAAACACAATAAACAAGAATAAAAGTACCTAAACAATTTTAACGAAACAGTTTAAAGATATAAAGATGATTACGTAAAGTGTTAAGTATTCATAATTTATTAGTCGTGGTTACATGTTAATTGTTCAATTATATAGAATAAAACACCACTACTATTTATACTATTATTATTATGGTTTTAAGTAAAAGAAACTGCATTATGACTTTTTTTTAATTCAATCTTATTCTTGGAAATATAATAAAAATCTAGAAAAAAATCCCAAAATATATACGGACTTATTGAATAGAAAATATTGAGGACTAATCGAAAATATCGTAACAAATTTTGAGGAATTCAATTTAATATTTGATAGAGGTTATCCTCTCGACATCGACTACTGCAGCAGGTTTCGTGACGCATGTTTATTTATTTTATTTTAAATGCACGGATGCGACAATTTCTCTAGTAAAACACAGAGTTCCTTTTTTTATCACGGTGCGCGCTGCGATTAATTAATGGTTATTTCATCATCTATTTCGCATCCAGAGAATAAGTATTTCCGGCAGTGGCAATATTCCCAGATGTACACATCACTAATTGAGATCACACACAATTTTTGTTATATCATTGTTGTTTTCGATTGTATTATATACTTCGTCTGCGTGGATAGTATTTCAGGAGAATTTCTTACCTATCGAGTAGGATCAATGGTCTGTAATGCACTGCGCGGACAAATGTGAATTGATGGGTGTTAGCAACTACTGATGTAGCAGGGACAAACAGCTTAACTTGCATTCCGAAGCACGGAGGAGCTAAAGATAATAATGTTTGCTCATCCACCCTATGAGCGGCCCTTACGATAGTTATTTTTCCATTTTTTTTTATCGTATATTAGGTATACTCGTATACGCTGTATCAACTGTTCTTCTTTTGATTTTGATTTTATTAAATGCTATTTGTTTATCCGTCTAGTTGTATGCGCAATCTATTATTTTTTGTTATGTTTTCCATCCAATGCTAGGTTGTCTGAAAGAAACTTAGCGCTGGCCAGCGCTAAGTTGTCTTTAGTACATAGTTATTAATGTTATGTATGAAAAATATATATGTATGTTCGTGTCATTTTCTTATAGTGCAATAAAGACTTTACTTACTTAACCGCATCGTAAACCGAATGCGCTAGCTTCTAATGTTAAAAAGAGGAAAACTGCATTTGAGACTTTGCTGTTTTGCTATCGTTACATAGGCGGAAGTTTATCACTGTTAATATGAACAGCAGCGGTTTTTGTGACAACGACACGGCCAAGCCTCATATTTTGACTCTAAAGTTAGGGTTTGCAAACTTATGGCGTGTAGAATTTAAAGTTTGGCTCTATATGAGATCTGAAAACTCTTTTATACCATGAGCTCGCCATGACAAAATTTTACTTGCTAATGTTTTTGGTGGGATACAATGTTTTCATTAAAATGCGTTAAATACTTTCCATATTCTATGTGGCTCCTCAATTCAGATGTTGAGATTGAGGAGCCACTTCTAGATTGATGTAACTCTGGCTATAATTTATTACCAATTTCAGAACTTATCCTAAAAAATATTTAATTCCCTACTAAAAATTCATTTTAAAATCTGAATTGGCTTCTCAATCCATATACGGATATGTCTATATAACGTCATTAGCATAACATATAGGATAGTGAATAGTACTTAGTACGAATATCTAAATTAAATTTAGATTCACATTCAGATTATGTATGATAGCCTAAACATCTGAAAAATTATATTATTTCTCAACAATACAAGCACGACGAACCTTTTGAAAGTGCTTTTATTTAATAGTTGGGCACGTGAAAACATAAGAAACATGAGTGAAACGATATCTATCCGCAAAAATATCTAACTACCCGCCGAAAATTACGTAATCAAATAGCGAGTTGCATAACAGCTTTTGACAATCAATATTCTTAAGAAATATAATTAAAACATTAGTGTCGCTTAATCCATTAGCATCCATTAGCATTGACTTCACCAGAAGATAGATAATTCTATCCTTTCCCTCCACACAGAGCTCAACCTCATGTCTAAGTTATTATCAGGCAGGCATCATTAGCGAGATGCATTTTAGTGGCTTCACTTGATATGTATTGTCATTAAATATATCTGTAAATATATTAAATCACTTCAGGTGATTATTTTTAAAACCACTATGACAATATTGTATATGTGAGATAAAGATTGTTTGCTGCAATGATGATAAAGCTCATTTCATAGAAATTTTAACATTTAACATCCAAATATAATTAAAACATTAGTGTCGCTTAATCGGCAAACCCCACTTTAAGGAATTTGCCATTATTATATACTAAAATAATATCCCTGTATAAAACCTGCATAATAGATAAAATCTATTACGAATCGTCGGAGTAATATCTAATTACGTGGATCTTATACTCTAAACATCAGGGGGGCGTCGCATGCAGCGGTTGCCTAAAGCTGGGAATTCACTATTCCCTGCAATCTCCAGTGATACCACTGCAGCCGCCGCAGTCCGCCGTGACCGCCACGCGGCCACGCGGCACAGCACTGCGAGACCAGCCCAGCGATTCTGTAAAAATCCGAACGTGAATGCGAATTCACTCACATGTCCACTTCAGACGATTCACTTTAAAAGCGGCATCCGCTCAACCTTGAATTAGTAATAACGTTTCGTGGCATAAGTGTAGTGAGTTTCGTAACGACATAGGAATAGAATATCTGAGATACGTATGAATCAATCGATCTTGTTTTGTATATTTATACAAAAAATGAAATCAATAGAATTTCTACAATAAATGACATGAGTTCGGACATATGAGTGAATTCGGGTTCGGATTTTTACAAAATCGCTCTGCAGGTATCCATTAGCATTGATTTCACCAGAAGATCGATAATTCTATCTCTCCCCTTCACACAGAATTCAACCTGATGTCTAAGGTATTATCAGACAGGCACCACTAGCGAGAGGCATTTTATTGACTTCACTTGATATGTATTGTCATTAAATATATCTGTAAATATATTAAATCACTTCAGGTGATTATTTTTAAAACCACTATGACAATATTGTAATGAGATACATATTGTTTGCTGCAATGCTGATTAAGCTCATTTCATAGAAATTTTAACATCCAAATTTCATTCAAAATCATTCAGCAATGTCTATATTGTCTTCTCATGATCCTGACAACATGACAAAAACTCTAGTTACACCTATTTATATTTTGATTGTCTTTATAAAATACTTTTCTAAAATAATAGTGTACATCTACGTCTACAAATTCAAAAATACAGTAGGTACTACATGGATCCAAGCAGTTATGGCAATTTTGTTGTAAATGTTTAAATTAAACTAAAACGGTGTAGATAGCACTATAAAAATCTATTGAATGAAAGCAATTAATCTTTTTACAATATTTAAAAATCTTATAGGAAACTTTCGTTGCACTGAACATCTGCATGTAAACCCTAAACATTTTCGGTCAAGACATTTGTATAATCAGATATCAAACTTCGTAAGGTATGCTCATTTGATTCTTAATTGTAGCTGAATGAAATTCGAATCTGCAAATATCGGAAAACCTTTCGTCTCCACGGAAACCTAAACAAATGACAAAGAGAATCCATATTAATGACTTTGATATGGGTGTAATAGGAAGAAATATCGATCAGTTTTATACTGTTGATATAAAAACCCCAAGTATTCGTAAGCTGCTTGCAGTTTTAAAAGATGGTATCGTGAAGTGTGGTTGTACCTTGGTATAGCTGAATGGCGAGCGAGGTATTTAAGAGCTATACGGAAATATGAAAACCGAAACATATTTTCTGGACGCAACCTACATTAACAGTAGTCACAACTCCAAAATGTGCTGGCAATCCGAATCTGGCGCCTGGTGTTTATGATGATATTGGCAAAGGGCGAAGTTTAGTAATTGTTCATGATGGCAGTCGAGACGGATTAGTTGAGGGTGCTTTAACTATTTTTAAATCAGATTCGAAATGCGGGTATTACCGTGGAGATATGAATGCCATAAATTTTCATAACTGGGTTAATCATAAATTTAAAAATAAATTAGCTCCTAATTCAGTGGTCGTGATGGACAATGCCTCCTACCATTGCGTACAGGTTGAGAAAATACCTACAATGTCAAGTTTAAAGAGTCATGCAAGATTAGTTACGCGAACATAATGTTGACTTTACACCAGAACATGCTTAACCTGATAAAAGTTCCTTTCCTTTCTCTGATAAAAAACCTTTCTCTTATAAAAAGAAATCAGTCCGAAAAAATTTACACCATTGACGAAAGATATGAAGGATATGGAAATTGAAGATATGAAGAATGAAGAAGATTTCGATTAATTTTGTACTACGAGTATAACGGTGATAGTGAAAATATTTTTTTGGTTTATTTATTGAGAAATGGTACCTAATTTGCTTATAAAACTGTATCTTAAATAATACAATTTAATAAACACTTTCAAATATGAATTTATTTATATTTAACTAGGAAATAAAGAAATATTACATTTAAATACCGCCATTACATTGATTAAAATAGATTCTAACATGTTATGCTGAGATTTATCTGTCCTTAATGTGAGTCTTTGCTCGCATACCTCTGGCGGTGACTAGCACTTCCGCGCACACAAGTTTTTGCTGATGGGTATTTCTTAACGAAGTGATAAGGGCTAGTTAGATTAAGACAAGAATTCATTTCAAAATCGTAGCTGACGCAGCCAAAGGCGGTGCTCTATCGGCTTGCTTTAGTATGATATGTATGTATTCCTTATTGTAGTTTTTTCCTTGATTTCACAGCTTAGCCCTACCATGTAGAACCACGAAAAAAATCCTGTATTCTCCGTGTGTATATACCTATATACACACGGAGAATACAGGATTTTTTTCCTGGCACCTGCCAGTGCTACAAATTTCATCAAGGTATACAGAGATTTTGATTCTGCAGAAAAAAAAATGCAAGAATCTAATTCATTCTCATTTATTTACAGACTACAATGTGAGGGAACTATCACATTATAAAAACGAGTGCTCTAATATCTAAACATATTTACATTTATATACAAAATGTCACCTTTCTAACATAAAATGCAAGTACATCTCAGAAACTCCGCTTATCCCATAGAAAATTATCACGTTTCTATTAATACAGGAACTAAATAACAATAAAATAATAGAACACAATACAGTGTTCGTAATCACAATAAAACTAGTTTGAAAATAACTTATTAGTTGTATTAAATGTACAGAAAACAATCAGTTCATTTGATAAACCATCATTAAAAATAGAAAAGAAAAAAATCTGTATTAATCTAAGAAGAGTTTGATTGTTGATAACAGTACATAGTTTAGTGGGTGACTTATTGCTAAAGTTTAAAATATTACAATTATGCAAACTGGATTCAACCCCATGCAGTCAAAATTGGTGGTATTTAAAAAAAATTAAATTATATTATCAAATGTATGTAACTTTATTAAAATATATTATTTTAATAACTATCAAGAGCTGTTACATTTTTTCACCCGTGCATTCTTCACGCAATACAAATGTGTCATACAACGGATGATGCTAATGCCGAGAATACACTTTCAAATCATCAAATAAGTTTTATCATTTTTCTATGGTTAGAAAACTAAGTAATGAATGCGGCGAACATGAATAAATTATTAAATATGCATATTTAATTCGGATGGACTTGTTTTGTAAAAGTCCACCGTAATTTTTGTGCACTTATAGACTTCTCCGATTTCACCGAATTGGCTAGTTTACTGTTTTGGGACAATAATTTAAAACTTTCATATTAAATCACAATCAGGTTAATTTTTCTTGGAAGAGTGTATTTAAAAGAAGAGAAAATTGTCTCACGAGAACAATCAGTCATGGAACATTTCGAGCAGTGACGTCACATTTCAATAAACATGAGTCCTACTGGTTGCACTCGCAACGAAGACGTCGACGTTTTTTTTTAATTTAAATGCGACATCACACGCACCTCCGTAATAGCCGCTTTACACATATTAATAATAGCAAGAATGAATTTTGTAAAAATAAATATACAATCTTAACACATTGTTTGTAAAAAAGTAGGGATAATAACTGGACAAAAAAAATTATTAGTCCGTCATTCATTAATAGAAAAATTATTAGATATGTGTTTTTTGCTTCAATTTGACAAGAAATAACTTAGATAACAGCCATTAAAGTTGAGGAGAATAATGTACAAAAGCGTGACGTCATGCCGTATTTTAACTCAATTTATTGCCATAATTTATTGATTACGCAAAAATATACGGTATTTGTATCAGTTGTAGAAGTCATGGTAAATGAGGTGGTAATTCTTCTAATCTTATTCAACTGAGACTCGACAGATCCACATATTATTAACAAGTGAGGGAAATTATAAAGTATATTTACTGATGATTAATTCAGTAACTACATTTAGATCAATTGAACCAATTAACAGAATATTATATTTGGATTAACTAATTAGGTAGAAATTGTTTTTATTAATAGTTTTTTATATTTCAATTCTTTTGGTTAACCTATGTGATATAATATTAAGTTTTTGCCATGGAGATGGGTTGAATCTAGTCGGTCAACATGTTTTATAAAGAGTTCTATTCGTTAACAATAGCACTCGTATTAAAATTCTTCATTTTCAAGTTCTCTTTCTTACAATTACATTTATTAATTATGACTAAAACAATTCAATACTTAATTAGAGTAAAATTACATTTGTACTCATTTATTGTATTCAATAACCAAACTCTTGCTAAAAGACAGCAGCTAAGCATATATTTCGAGTTTAAACAAATTAGGTATTACATCAATTTGTTTAAAAAAGAGAAATTATAAATAACTTACTAAGATAATATCGACGCTAAACAAATTGATATAAATAACAACAACAATAATAAAACAAAATGTGAATTAAATACATTGTTAATTTTTTACGTTATAATAGGTTTAGAAGAGATTCACTATAAACCAGTACTGTCGAGGATTATGCTCATATGATATAAAGAAACATTGCACTTAACAACATCGGAGGCCCTAAAATGATCTCTTGAGAACCGATGGAAAAGCTGTCATTGAAGCGAAACGTAGCTATCAGCGTGTTACCATCTCACTTCGTCTACCGTAATCGGCTACTTGAGTGTTTTGGGAAAAACCAGCGATTGTCAGCGCGTGACATATCGAGTCCTGACGTCACATTTCGTTGACACGTTTCACATTGGCGCTTATTGAAATGTGACGTCTCACGGTGCTCCGTCATAACTGCCTAACGTTTTGGTTCTTGTAAGCTACTCATTGTAAATTTTGTAAAAAAAAATACAAACAATTTTTTTCAAAACAATAAATACCAACTAAGTAGTTAGTGATCACATATACGTTAGCATTTCAAATATATTTTATAATTTATATTATAATCCTCAAGTTGCCAATTGGGTCGTGGTAAAATCCTAAGCTAAGAGCCATAGGTAATGTAAATTTGCTTTCAGAACTTGTTTCTTGTTTCACAAATTCCTTACAAAAATTTTTGCATTTATAAATCATACACGTTTGTTTATGTGGAAATATCTCGTGGCTACCTTTAGTGCTGCAAAATCTCAATGAGTGAGACCAGTAGTTATACAGGTAAACTTTTAGGTAATAATGATATAACGAGGAATAAATATGGACATATAAAAATATTAATGCATTTGTATGCACCTAGTTACCAGTGCATTAGGTCTAGAATTATCTTTTGCGGTGCATCTAGGAAATCTGTATTAATATTTAGTCACAAAATAACCAAGATCCATAAAATCCTTGACTATAGCTTATTTAATATTCATAACTCTATTTGATACAAAAATATACTTAGGTAATGAATAGTACTTGTTTAAAAATGTACCAAATAATATAATATTCTTTAAAGTATTTTCAACATAAAAAGGGTACCTATGTTACTTTTAACAATTGACCATAAAATTTGTTTTATTAGGATTAAAGTTCTGCATCTACAAGATGGTTATTAAGACACTATCCAGTACTCAAAACCACATTGCATAGATTTCATTTAGGCCTAAAGTTAAGGAATTCATTTTCCCATGTGCAAAGTCTTGACACATCACCGAGAAACTCAACTAAAATAAATATAAAGTTCTAGCTATCTACAACTGTACACCATCTTCACAATAAAACCCTTATCTTACGTGATATCATGTGGCCGGGGCCCTCGAGATCTGAAGAAGCCCTTTTCGGTACGGCATTCTCTAATGGTAACCGTTTGGAGGTTGACAGTGACGTCCGTGATAAAGATTTGGTCAGCGACGGGTGAGCGCGCCATCCAGTAGGCGGCGCTGCGGCGGGGTGGTTGCGGTGGTGCAGGTGCAGGTGGGATAACGGGTGCTTCGCCCCAGGAATCCTCGTCTTCGGGTTGCGGCGCAGGGGGCGGTGGTCGAGCACCTTTAGGTTCAGCTGGTGCAGACGCTGTCGGCTGCGAGTCCGTACGTCTTTCTCGTTCGGGAGGTACGTGAGGGTCGGCTTCCTCGGGGGAGTGTGGCGCCCGTCTCGGTCCCGTTCTCGGTGCAGCGGCCTCCGCGGCGGGCGACGCCGGCGCAGCAGCTCCTCCCGGGGGCGCCGCGGGTGGCGGGGGTTGTGCGGCATGAGGAGTCCTCACTCCGTTCAGTTTGCTGGAGTCGTGACGTTTGGCAGGAGGACTCATCGTTATAGTAACCCCGATCTTCCCTGATTCCCGAGAGAGCACCTCGGCCTTGCGCTTGCCGGGAGGCGGATGGCGTTCCTCGGAGCCGCTGCGGGCACGTTCCACGGGTGAATGTTCCCGTTCCCGCTTCCGGCCTTGTCGCCTCATTTCCTCTCCTCTCTCGAAGCTTTGGATCAACCGCGGGTCGAGTATGTTCTCCTCCGGTTCCCAGGTGTTGTGTTTCGGCTTCCACCCTTTCCATTTCACGTAGTACTCCACTTTGTTCTGGAAATACAAAATGTTGGCGGTTATCACATGTGTCGAATACGAGTGCACCGTTGGAGTGACGTGGCGTAACTGATCGGTGGCGTGCACACAAACGAGCGGGAGGGTTGCATATAACCTTGCAGATCGTAAGCGATAATATTACAGTGAAAGTTCGGGAGAGGTCGTGCCATTCTATAAATAGAATCGCAAAATGAAGTTAGCTGCGATGGGATTCATTCACACTAGTTTAGTCATACTAACTTACATACAGGTATTAAAAGAATAATCCATCATTACATAATTTTAAAAAAATGGGAATAATACTAGCGCCCGTGTTTATGATGGCGAGTGGTATTGGGGCGCACCTGCCGTCAAAGCCAGCTGCGGGCAAAGCTATCTCACACGGGATCAAGACTAATAACCTTACTGCCTAAAAAATAAGGATCACCTCCGCCGGATTCGCATGAAGCGACATACCGTCGACGGACTTACTTGCACACTGCACTAATTAGTTTTATTTGGGTAAGGGTAAATTTAGGTGATATCGTGAAAAGAACACAAGACTTCATGGCGAATTTAGTAATAATTCAGTGAGGTATGAATTATTCACTAGCGAGCTATATTGCACAGTGTGACTATACCTTGAGAATTTGTACTGATCAGTGCACTAGTTCAGGTGGTAGGAGTTAGCTCAAAATAATATAGGTCAACTTTTTAAACGGAAAACGGAAAGGCCGATCGATGGTCCATTACTGAAACTGGGGCATATCGAGATAACAATTGCGGTTTATTATCGTTATTTTTATACTTAATGTCTCGAAGTCCGATTTCTATACAATATCATAATTATGATAGGTAAATCAATAGTCGTTTTGAAGCCTACTTTTTACTAAATAAGTATTCAACTCGGGTGTTTCGGTATAGCAATCCAACAGAGTATAAAGTTGCATTCTACTTTATAATAACTTAACCAGACATGTCATAGTTGTTTCATTAAATTTCGCTGACAACGTGAAATGAATTTGCACCTTAACATGAGTATGTTTAGGTTGGGTATGTCGCGACGTCGTGGTGTTTTAGGGCGTATCAATTCTGAACTACACTAGTGAACCCTCGCGTCTTATTGGTTTTAGTTACGAAGGGTGAGGTGAAATTTTATCGATGCACTGGCTTTGTACCGAGGTACTATAGTTGGAAATTAAATAAAAATACTGAGTTGACGTTTCAAACAAACCCTATAGTTTTTTTTATTCAGAAAAAAAATAAAAGAGTGAGTGGCAATCTGCCTGCCTACGAAACCAAAGTGTTATTAGTAAAAAAAATAATTTAAGGAATTGTCTAATATCATTATTATACTAAGTTGACGTTTCAAACAATCCAAGAGCTTCTTTTATTCAGAAAAAAAAATTGGCGAATGAATGGCAATCTGCCTGCCTACAAAACCAAAGCGTTATCACAGTAAAAAGAAATAATTTAAGGAATTGTCTAATATCATAATTAATAATAATTAGACAATTAATTCTCTTCTCGGACTCGTGTCTTCCCTATGGATGGAATTAAATCTAATAGGGAGAATGACATGACCCATTGCGCATTGGTGGGTGTTAACGCAGCTGAGACCGACGGGTTAAAGAGGTAAAGCACGAAGGAGCTTGAGAGTACATAATTACTATTTGGCCACCCATCCTATGAGTGGCCTTTGCGACACTGTTAATTTCCATAATTCAGACCGAACACGATGAACACTGCGCCGCCCATCTCTTCTTGTTATAATAAATAAACATAGAAAAGTTAATTTTCTGAATTGACCTAATCGGGAATCGAACTCGGGACCTCGAAGATGGCGACAAGTCGATACCAACGTGTGATCCATTCGACCACGGAGGTCGTAAACATGTCGGAGATATTATAAAAACTTAACAGTTACACAACAGTAAGAAGTTCACAAAGGAAATTTATTAATAGCACGAAGTTTTAATTTACATTAGAAATATCTGTAACCACTCCAAAATTCGTAGAATACAAAACAACTTAACAATTAACTTCACAACAAAAGCAAAAAGGGATGTAACAGCTATAAAAGATTCACCTCAAACGGTAATCAAATCAGTCAATCGACAAAGACTAACAACTTTGAAAAAAAAAAGCAAAAAACTAAAGGATCAGTCGGGACGTGTGGGCAAGGTGAGCTCGTTCGGTCGACGCGCTCGGATTGGCCGAGAAGCGACCGGGCGGGGCGAAGGGAGCGGGGCTCCACCCCCCACCACGCCGCACCCCACCCCCGCCCGCTTCTAGAGACCTACCAAGTTAAACTTGTCGCCAACATAGCTCTTAAGCGAACCACATAAAGTCCAAAATCTTCTATCCAAAGGGCGTATTTAAGATGGCGCTTTTGATGGTTGTAATCGCGCCATGGGCGGACCGTAGTCGCTCGGTAGCATAGACGCCAATTAGCGAACGCAACTTATGTCGTAATTAGTGTGGGAATAATTATAGGATCATCTTTAATTGGTTTCTATAATCTTGTACGTGAGGTATTCTAATACACAACTGACCAGTAAATTGAAGAGATGTGAGAATACAGATTTATCGATCTGGGACTTGTTATCTTGACCACTACTAAATAAGCAAACAATCCAGTACATGTTGAGGAAAATTGTGGTATAATGCCATTGGCATTATTACACGTAGTTTTTGAACTATGACAAAAAAAACCAAAAGTACCAAGATACACAGCAATAACTTTACCGTAGTGAGTACGAGAAAAATAGTTGAGATACGTTCGGTCCATTTAGGGCGAAGTGAGAGAGTACCTATCATTTAAATAATTTTATTCACAAGTTATATATGCCTAGGTAATTGAACTTAGATTAAACAGCCAATACGTTTTCATACTATAGATTTCATGTTGAAGGCATTGGTAAAGAACTATGGTCAAATAATGTAGACAAATAAGCAAATCAAGTAGTTTCAAAACATTAAACCTCAGTAGATAATTTATATACTGTGATGAAACTGATTAATATATTACTCTAACATACTCATGTATTTCGAGAAAGGTTATATTCACGTTGATCACGTGATTATTCTTAATAGACTAACAAACTCTTAGAATCTACAGGTAAAATAAAATTTTAACTACATTATTACTTATATAAATGTTAAAAGAGCCAAGCAGATTATCATGATCTAAATTTCTGAAACAACATCGACATTGTCTGGAAAGCAAACACGTAGGTAGTAATAGTAGTAATATTCAGAGCAGAAAATCTTCGAGATCTTACTCCCGTGTAATCGACTTAGGATTAGATTATCATATTTGTAACCATGGAAGTTGATAGGACTTTTTAATTTAAAAAGTTATTCTGCTTTCAAGAATAATTTTAAAACAAATATAGAAATCCAAATCGGTAACATGGCAGTCGTGGCAAGGTACATTGTTAAGTCTTTTGTTTACAAAAGTTTTCCTGTTTTCATCAATAAATCGAAATAATAAAGGATTCCAATAATTATAATGAATGCAACAAAGTTTGCTTGAAACATGGATAAAACGCCAAGGCAGCTTAATGTTGGTCTTAATCTACTCAAGATAAGGATACAACACTTCTTAGCATATTAAATAAACAGTCATGCTATGGAGTAAATCAAATTGGTTAAGTGGCTTTGTTAAAATGGGTGACAGATTAATGTGTCTACTACCTACAATTTATCGCTTGGACGATCGTGGAGATACTTCAGGATTTGTTTTATTTAAATTGAACAGAACTTGGTAGCTTTATATTAGACAAAACAAAAATAGTAAACACTTAAAACATGTTTCTAAAATATAGAATTTTTGAGGATATTTATTTGACACTATATAGATAGATGTTACAAAATTGCCGCAATCCAAAAACGAGCTACAATAAACACTCAAATGTCGCGGATGGGAGATGAAGAGGAATTTTATGATCAGTTCGAATTTTCCGAGGCAGTGGGTAACAGCATAACGGAATGGAGAACGATGAAAGGATAATAAACCGTTGGCACAGTTCCAAAACTCTTTATTTTGATAAACGGCTTTAGATGTTGGTTTTTGTTTTCAATTCTAACGACTTTTATTTATCGGTTCACTTTTTCGTTCTTTGATTCGTAAGTTATTGGTTCACAGATTTCTGGAGTTTCTTGTTTAAGGTAAATTTTGATTGTCGTGGCAAATTAAAAACAGCGTCTTAATAAAGTTTCATTAATGTGGATACGGATAACGTATAACTTTTTTGGTTGGAAGAAGCTTGTAAGTTGGTGATATTAAAATTTTGTCACAATATCAGCAGCGTAAATTATTTAGCTATAAAGGGTGCGTATTTCATCATCTATCACGTTGTCGCAAATTGTTCCCGGACCGCGGTCTCATCCGGTCCCGGGGGAGCGAGAGGGCGGGTAGATTAATGGGCCAGACCCGGTTAACTCGGTCTACGGGGATAGATGGAGCGTTTAAATACGAATCCTCTCAAATTGCCTGTACTCGAGGGATCTGAAATTTCCGTGAAACGGGCTTGAATAAAGCAGATTGTGTAACCAGACACTAAACTCAAACGCTCTTAAGTTTAAACTTGTTTCGTATTGAGCTCAATTTTCATCGAAAACTTGTTTTTGCTATCCGTATTTCAATATGGTGTTTGAATTTAATGTCGTCATTCGATTCTGCGACGGATTTACTTAAGTAATTTAGGTCTATACCTACTGTATTGATAGATACAGTATGTAGTTTAATTCGTTGTCAAGGAAATTGATGTGTCTATCTATCTAAATGTAGTTTAGCACTTATGTGATAGACATACAATAGGTAAAAAAAATATTAGAAATAAAAAATGCATAAATAAATACTTAAGATAATACTATAATTTACTTCAAGAAACCTATAGGTTGAAATCCTGTTAGTGATTGTCCATTTGTCGCGGTTAAGGGACGCAGGTAGAACGCTTCAAAGCGTGAAACTATCATCAATCCCAATCTTCGACTCTGATTTGGTAGACGCT